TTCCAACCGGCAGCTTCGAGAAACGTGACAAAAGGACGAGCGCTTTTTGACAAATACATAAATAACAATACCAAGTCATATATTTTTCTTTTTTTGACAATTTGTAAACTATGGCCACCTGGGGTAAAATTGAATTACGAAAAAAATCATCATGTTTGGGTAATTACAATCTTCCACTCAATTATAAATTTTCTTACTTGTTCACTCTTGTTGTGTCAAATTTAATGAAATCTTCTATTTTATGTGGAATATTGTCCAGTTTGTACTATTTTTTTCTCATTTGAACTCCACATTTTGAAACAAGATAATTCTCTTGACTTGTAAATATCATATTGTGGTATATCAGAAATTGCATTTTTGCACAAAACGAGTACAAACTAGAGAACATTTCACGAAATCTAGAAGATTATGTTGACTTTAACACCATAAGGATGTACGCGTAAAAACATTCATAGTTAATGGGTGATTGAAATTTATCCAAACATGACTGATTTCTATCATATTTTAATCTTCCCTCATGGGTGACCATAATTTACCCTAATTTAACTTTTTCTCCAAATGGTCTCACTTTTTTGAATAAATCCCACAAAGAGAAAACATTTTCATGAATCATGAACATAAATTAATACAACTATATCACATTAATTACTCTAGTAAGTTATTCAACGCACCTTTTACAATCTTTTAACCTCTTTCATTTTATCTCATAAAATTAATGCACACACACAAAAACACATCAACACAACTATGATACTAAAGTGAATAAAGTCATGTATATACATACATAGGGTGAAGTATTATACTAGACATCAATTAATTAGTACAACAAAGTAATGAATATGAAGAATATAATTAGTTATTAGTCCTAAGAAAAAGAACAACTCTCCTTCTTTCTTCTTTCTTCCTTCTTTAGATTTGAATCTATTCTCTCGACTATTACAATGAGCGGAAACGGAGTTCTAGTAGATGACGAAGCTAGCGCGATTTCTTCGCATCGTCATGCAAACGAGAAACCCTACGTTGTTTACAAGGTGGGGGCGCCGAACCCCAAGCAAAGCTTCTTCAAGGAGTTCAAATTTACGTTAAAGGAGACTTTCTTCAACGATGACCCTTTTCGCGCTTTTAAGAACCAATCGAAATTACGGAAGCTATTGCTAGGAATCGAAGCCGTTTTTCCGATAGTCGATTGGGGAAGAAAATACAAGCTTTCAATGTTCAAAGGTGATCTCATTTCTGGACTCACCATTGCTACTCTCTGTATTCCTCAGGTATATATATATATATATATATATATATATATATATATATATATATATATTGAACATAAAGTTTCGTTTTTAGGTTTAATTCTTCGTCCATTCGTCGATTTTCTCGTATTTGTCGATTCGACTATTTTTTTTAATGCAGGATATTGGATATGCAAGACTTGCAAACTTGGATCCTCAGTTTGGACTATGTGAGTTTCGTTACTGTGGCCTCACATTTAATTTTCACTTTATATCGAAACAAAAATGACGATTGATCATCGTCGTCTACTTATACTTTTAGGTTTCGTTTAATCGGTAAGATTGGAGGTGCAAATTGGAACGAAATATAAGAATTTGCTGGTTTCGATTTTGGCACAATATTTTTCATTACGAATCTTGAATGTTCCTATTTCGGATGTTTCCATTTTTTTCAACGGAATTGCAATACTCAATAGATTTCGCTCCGACATTAATTTTCAAAAATATTATGTATTTTATATTATAAGTGACTAAAAAATGGAAATTCCAAATCCCGTCGATTTCGAATGAAAAAAAAAAATCGATTTCAGAACAATTTTTTTCCTTCCGGTTTTCAAATTTTCCGATTTTTTCTTAAACTTCCTTCGAATTAATATTTCGGTTCCAAAAAAAATGGAACTTTTTTTTCGTTTCCAAAATCACTAATTTCGATTTGATTCGTCCGATTTCCTCTACTGGATAAGATAATTAATTAAATTAAATAATTATCCATCGTGTTATAATGTTATGATACAGTTAAACCTGTATAAATTAATACAGTCGGGATTAGGAAAATTCTATTACTTTAGCGAATTATCAAATTATCGAGTTAATAATTTAACACGTTCTCACCGAATCAAGATCGAGAGAAACTATTATTTAAGCGAGATTATTAATTTATTGAGTATTAATTTATCGGAGTTTATGGTGTAATGCTAAATTGCATGCAGATAGTAGTTTTGTCCCTCCTCTGATATATGCCATGATGGGCAGCTCGAGAGATATCGCCATCGGCCCGGTGGCGGTGGTTTCCCTTTTGCTCGGAACTTTGCTCCAGAGCGAAATCGACCACACCACTCACAAACACGAATACCAACGCCTCGCATTTACGGCTACTTTCTTCGCCGGAGTTACTCAGTTCGTACTCGGCTTTTTCAGACTGGGATTCCTAATTGATTTCCTGTCCCACGCCGCCATCGTCGGTTTTATGGCCGGAGCAGCCATTACAATCAGCCTCCAACAGCTCAAATCTTTGCTCGGCATCAACGTGTTCACCAAGAAAACCGACGTCGTTTCCGTGATGAAGTCTGTTTGGACGAATGTGCATCATGGGGTGAGAAATTAGAATTCATTTTCTGCTATTTTGGGGGTGGAAGGATCAAAACTTCAGCATGCAGATAAACTGTTTGTGTTTTTGTCTCAGTGGAATTGGGAGACTATTTTAATTGGAGTCACATTCTTGATTTTCCTACTCCTTGCCAAGTACATTGTAAGAAGCCTAAATTTGTTTTTTTCCCCAACTTAATTAAGCTTGTTTTCCGCTAATCCGAAACACTAATCGTGCCGATTAATCAGGGGAAGAAGAGCAAGAAATTGTTCTGGATACCCGCGATTGCTCCATTGATCTCGGTTATCGTTTCAACCTCATGTGTTTACATCACTCATGCAGAAAGGAGAGGAGTCAAAATCGTGAGTATAATAATTTGACTTCGACATGCAGCCATTTTTCGAAACTCGAATAATTTTTTAAAGTAACATTTTTTTTACGATATGTGAAAGGTGGGGAGCTTCGAAAAAGGCATCAACCCGCCATCCCTGCACGAAATCCATTTCACCGGAAGCTATATGATGAAAGGTCTTAGAATCGGTGTTGTTGCAGGGATGATTGCACTTACGGTACGTAAAAAAAAAAAAAAAACGAACCCGAAAAATTCTATAGTAACAAAATCGTAAAAATGTTCGACATTATATATATATAATATATATACAAATCGCAGGAAGCCGTAGCAATTGGCAGAACCTTTGCAGCAATGAAAGATTACCATTTGGATGGTAACCGAGAGATGGTAGCTTTAGGCACGATGAATGTCGTTGGCTCGATGACTTCTTGTTACGTAGCAACCGGTCAGTTACGTATATTAAAAAAAAAA